TTTTTATTTTTTCACAAATTCCATTCTAGGTCTGCCTGTTGGGGGTACTTGTGAAGGTGTTTTCTTTAGACCAGCAGAGAGCAACCTTGCGTTCTCATCTGCTGCGTGGTTAGCTTGAATAAGCACGTGTTGGCGTGCCAAAGCATCTTACAGCTCATTTTGTTGGGAAAAAGGGAGCCTTAGTGGGCTACTCATTGGACTGCTAGCCAGAAGGTCAGCAGTTCGAGCCTACCAGCCTATCCAAGTGGGAAAGATGAGGCTGTCTGCCCCTTTACAGATTTATAGACTTGGACACACCATGGAGCTGTTTACTTTGTCCTCTTGGGTCCCTGTGAATGAGACTGCACATGACAGCAGTGGGGTTTGGTTTTTTGTTTTTGTTTTTTTTTTAAATATTGGGAAAAGAGGGAGGAAATGAGTTTGGAATGACTTAAAAATTATGGAAATAACTTTTTTGTGAAAATGCTCATAAGTAGGTGAAAGTTATGTCAGGAATAAAGAGCTGCAAGACAAGGTCTCAGGATTGAGGTTCTTATTTTAGGCCTTGTCTGGCCCTCCCCCCTGCTTTGCAGTGATAAGAGGTTCATCAAGGCCTGCCCCAGAGTACTGGCCACAGTTGATAATGTCCTGACTGCTCAGCTGGTGTTTCCATGAGTCCACTGTGAGGGACCTAACCAGTAAAACTCAGCAGGAGGGACCGGTCAGACACCACCCTTTGTTCCCTTGGGGGCTATTATTGTTAGTTTCCAGCAAGTGGGTTCTGACACAGAGCAACCTTTTGCATAACAAAGTGAAACACTGCAAGGCCCATCCTCACCATTGATCCTATGTTTCAGGCCACTGTAGCAGCCACAGTGTCCGTCCATGTGCTGTGCTGTTTGGGGGGGATTGCCAGGGAGTAGAGCTGCTGGGGGCCCCTCAGAGATGTTTGCCAGTACTGAGTTTACTTTGCTTCGTTGTCTTCTTCTTGTTGTTGGCTGTTGTTGAGTTGGCCCCGGGGCCAACTCATGGGGACCCGATGCGCTGCAGATGAAAACTCTTCCATCAGGCCTTTCTTCTTCGGAGCTGCTGGATGGGTTTGAACTGCCAGCCTTTTGAGAGGAGCCCCCAAACGCAAACTCCCTGTGCCACCCAGGCTCCCCATTCATCATGTCTTGTCCCTCTCTGCCATCGAGTAGATGCTGACTCACAGCGACCCTGTATGACAGGGTAGAACTGCTCTGGGAGTTTCCGAGATTGTGACTGCTTACAGGAGTAGAAAGCCTCATCTTTCTACCTTGGAGTAGAAAGTGGATTCAAACTTCGGACCTTGTGGCTGTAATCGCCATGCCACCAGGCCTCTTCACCATGCTTTAGCTGCTCTGATTTCCTTCTCGGAGCATGCTTCTGTATGGAAGGCATCATTCCTGGGTGAAGCACAATGCTAGGAGTACCCAGGAAGGTTTTTTTTTTTTAAAACCTTAGGTGCCCTTTTGATTCGAAATCATGTTATCGGAGTAACATTGGAGTAATATTGGAGGCATTTATAAGTAATCCAGAAGTAAATGGTGACATTTATGGTGAAAATTATGGAAACTGCCTTCCAACTTATCATCTGACCTTATACAAGTTATCCTCTTCCATCAATTTCTGGAACTCTACAGAGCATTGCCAGGGAATTACTTTTCCCTGCCACAGTTTTAAAATCGCTGGTAGAAAAAGGTTGTGTTGTTCGCTGTAGAATAAGCATCGAGCTTCAAACTCCAAGGTGAGCGATTCAAATCCACCAGCCTCTGCAGGAGTAAAGTGAGGCTGTCTCCTCCTATAAAGATTTATAGCCTCAGAAACTCTCTACTGTGGTGATTCTCAACCTGTGGGTTGAGACCCCTTTGGGGTCCAATGACCCTTTCACAGGAGTTGCCCGATTCGTAACAGTAGCAAAATGACAGTTATGAAGTAATAACGAAAATAATTTTATGGTTTGGGGGTGGGTCACCACAACATGAGGAACCATATGAAAGGGTCGTGGCATTAGGAAGGTTGAGAACCACTGCTCTACTGGGTGGCTGTCAGTCAGAATTCACTCGATGGCAGTCTGTTTGGATTTTGTCTCCAAGCACAGGCTTTGTTTTTAGGCCCTCCTGTTACTGATTCTACGTCTCCATTCATAGCCACCGTCTGTCAGTTTGTTGTAGTGTGGAGGCTTGTGTCATGCTGGAAGCTGTGCCACCAGTATTTCAGATAGCAGCTCTCAGAGGGTCACTTAGGGTGGACAGGTTTCAGTGGCTCTTTCAAACAAAGACCAGGAAGAAAGGCCTATTGATCTACTTTCAGAAATAAAGCCAATGGTCGATGGATCGCAACTGACTATGGTCTGGTAGAGTACTGCAAGAGGAGCCTCTCAGGCATTCAGGATACACAGTGGCCACAACTGGGGGCTTTAGCACAGCAGTGACTGTGAAGATGGCACCGTTGAATTCTGCTGTACACGGAGTCCACAGATTTGCAGCAGCTAAGACAACATCTTTAATGTATTGAAAATAGCACTTACTATTATTTGTGGCCAGTGAGATAAACAATTATTTGTTGAGGTGGGCTGCTAATGGCATGGTCAGCAGTTCAAACCCACCAGCTACACAAGCATTCCTGCTCTGCTAAAGATCTACAGCCTTGGAAACCCCAGAGAGTAGTCCCACTCTGTCCTCCAGGGTCGCTGTTCAAAACCGACTTGATGGCATGAGTTTGGGTTTTGTAGTGGGTTAATGAGTGAGCTGCTAAAGGCAAGCCCAGTGGTCAATCTGACCCACTGATCTTTGGAAGAAAGGTGAGGCTTCTCTGCTCCCATAATGATGTACAGCCTCAGACACTCCAGGGAGCAGTTTTAATTTTACTTTACCCCCTACAGGTCGCTAGGAGTTGGTGGTTTTTGTTTGCTTGCTTGTTTTTCCCTTGACAGCCATTAATGTAGCTACAAGAGAAGAGGATCTAAACTTTGAGGCTCTTACTTGTTTGCTGCTTTGGACAGCCCTTCCTACTGCACCCCCTTCTGTAGGATAGCCCTGCAAATACGGTGAAGTAATTGTTTCCGCTTGAAACAATGACAGAGCATTTAGGTTTTCTAGCCTTTAAAATACATTATCTGGTTCTTTTCAATTATGCAAATTATGTCTTGTGTAAAGCCTTCACGGTTTTGGGAAATGCCTGACTTCCTTTAGAGACAGGGTTTGCAGGTCTGTGCAGAATTTAAAAGGCTTGCAGTGTGGTCGGGAAGGACTTTAGGGCTTCCAGAGCCTTCGTAGGTATTTATTTGGTGGCCGGGTCCTTGTTTCTTGTGATTGGAGCAGCACATGTCCCTCTGGTTTCTGCTGAGAGTTCTACCCTGGCAGAAGGCAAGGGGGCAAGCCCAGGACCCTGCGGGCACCAGGGGTCTGTGACATGAGCAGCTCCTGTGTTTCTGTTGCGAACTTGCCCTGTGTGGCCTTACCTCCTTGCAGAGCGCCTCTGCGCCCCAAGTTTCCTTAAAATGACATTGGAATCCAGTGCTGTGTGAAGTCCCCCATAGCGGCCGCCATCCATTTTATCATCCTTGGCTCCCAGGAAATGGCTCCATGGAGAGTGAGGAGCCAGAGGACAAATAGCGCTGGGCTTCACAAAGTTTGTGGGGAAAAGGCTGTGATCGTTTAACTCCGTTGTGTCCAGGGAGTGTTTGAAGCCCCTCGTCTATCACAGAGCTTGCTCGCTTCCCAGAGGCTTCCTTCACCATGATGTTGAACCACCTCACAGGCATTACTTTAAAGTGAGGGGTTTATTTTAAAGTAAGACCCTAAAGTATTCAGCAACTGCATTTGGAAACCAGTATCGTTCAGTCACCTGAGAGCACCTTGATTTTGCCCTTTGTTCCCCTGGGGTAGTGGAGGGAGAATGTTCGCAGTAGTCCTTTCATAGCCAGCACACTGAAGCTCTGCAAAGAATTCAATCAAATCCTGCTGCACCGAGGAATGGATCCCTCTCTTCCATTCGGGATTTACCGTCTGCGTAAAGGAGCCGTGGAGCTTCACTGGGGAAGGCTTCAGCTGCTAACCAGAAGGTGTCGGGGGTTTGAACCCACCAGCTTGTGGTGGTCTTTCTGTAAAGGCTGGAAACGCTGGGAGGCTGCACTGCTCTGTCCCATCGTCTTCCTGAGAGTTGGAGTAGATCCGTCTCTTGTGGCCTTGGGTTTGATTCTTACTTAAGAATGCCAGTATCTTTCTATTCCTCACTAGAATATATATCTATAATTTTATTGGGGGCTCTTACAGCTCTTATAATATTCCATACATCAATTGTGTCAAGCATATTTGTACATATGTTGGTGTGTTAGTCTGGGATAACTAAAGAAACAAATCAATAGACCCTCATGTGTATAGGAAAGAGGTTTATATACAAGAGCAGTTGAATATTGAGAAAACATCCCAGCCCAGTCCAGATCAAGTCCGTAAGTCCAATATTAGCCCATATGTCCGATACCAATATATAAAGTCCTCTTTAGACTCACGAAACACATGCAATTATGCTGACTGCAGGAAGATCATAGGCCAGTGGGTGGGAAGTCTTGTAGATCCAGTGGCACTGTAAGCATCTCAGCACTGGCAGGGGTCTCCACGTGGCTTTTCCAGGTCTAGGGGTCTGGCTGTATCAGAGTAGGTCCATGTGGCTTCTCCTCAGGGATGTTTTGCAGGGAGTCAGCCTTGTCAGTAGAGAGTCCCCAAGGAAGTGACCTGAGAGAGAGTGTGTCTCCCAACTCCAAGGAGGAAATACAGGATTTTCCAGAATTCTTAGGAGAAGGCCATGCCCACACAGAGGCCTCATTGGTTATGATCCGATTGACAGACTAGACTCCACCCCTTCACTCTTAATCCTCTCAAGTCCCAAATTGATACCAGATTATGTAAGAACCACAGTTGTCATCATCATTTTCTACTTGAGCCCTTAGTATAAGCTTCCCCCCACCCCTCATTGATATTCTTTTTTTTTTTTGACAGAAGAAGGTTCAAGCTTGGAGGAACTCGGCTTTAACTGGGGAGACTATTTGGAAGAAACTGGCGCAAGCGCGGCTCCTCACACATCGTTCAAACATGTACGTAGCAGGGTGGTGTCTGCCTGTAAGAGGGCTGGGGGCAAATTTGTAGAGAGATGCCAAGCGACTGATGAGAAAGAGGCAGGAATACCACAGAGAGAGATTCGGCCTCGATTTCTCGCAAGTAACAAGGAAATGTGGCAGGTTGGTGGGTGATTGTTCCTGGATGCAGGGGGTGGCGCTGGCCCTTGCTCTTGCAGCCTGTCTGCCTGGAAGCACACTGGCTGGGCAGAGGCCTCAGCTCCTGGAGGGCTGGCGAAAAGGCTGCAGTTGTCACTTTGTCATACGCCTAAGAGGGGAGCTCTGTGGTTAAGTGCTTGGTTGCTCACGGGAAGGTTGGTGGTTTGATAGGGAGAAAGAGGTGGCCATCTGCTTCCTTAGGAGTTGAAGCCTTGGAAACCCTAGGGGCCAGGTCCACCCTGCCCTCCAAAGTGGCTGTGAGTCACATTCAAGTCAATGGTCTGTGCCAAAGAGCAAAATTAGAGGCTGACCTTGCCTTCTGGACCTACCGCCGAGACCGGTTAGGCCAATTTGAATAAATATTAGCCAACAGACTAGGTAAGTGGGTGTGGTGTGTTATGTCTTTTGAGTACCAAGCTTCATATTTTTAGTTTGAACTGATCATTTTAGTTCAAAATGGTACAGACACATGGTAAGGCCACTTGTGGGCAGATGAGTAAAAATTTAAGGCAGTTGACCTGAGATATTTAGAGAGCATTTGGATCAAGCAGAAAGATCACTCTTTATCAACAATATCTGTGTCATCAAAGTCTTAGAACATTTTTTAAAACGAAGTTTTTTAATTCAGATTTTTTTCTCAGTCATGAGATTTTGGTAATAGAGCATTCATGAAGACTGAATTTCTAGAACCCAGGTTTTCTCAGGGATTCTGATTGCTTTATGGGAAGTAAGATATGAATTCTGAGGAAGATTTTGGCACTGGCTTACGCAGAACAAAGAGCCTGAGTCTTTTGAACAGATTGGGACATTTCTTTCACCTTTTGGTTCCTTTGTGGAATTAGAAAGCCAGGATTTTGATTATTTCAATAAAGCATTTCATTCTTTCTGGAGACTAAATGTTCTTTCCAATAGAAATTTAAGGCCTTAAACATTTTTTTTTGTACATGACTGAATTTCTAGAATCCAAGTTTTCTTAGGGATTCTGATTGCTTTATGGGAAATAAGATGTGAATTCTGAGGAAGATTTTCAGATAATTTCCATTTCTTGTTTTATACTGGCACATGTAATATGAAATGACAATTACTAGTTGATTATGCAAATGACTGGCCGTTTAGTCAAACCAAGAGTTTAATAAAACATAACAAAACCCCACCTAGCATACAGAGTAGCTGTCACCCTCCCATAACCTCTCTAACATTTACATCTTTTTTTTGGTTCAGAAGTTAATTTTAATGATAATTGCATTATAATTATAGATTGCTTATTAATGATAATTGCATTATAATTATAGATTGCTTAGAGTATGTTATTTTCACAAAGTTGAGCCTTCCTCTTCATGACCATGGTCCATTATTCTAATTATTTGCGTTTCTTTTTTTTTAAAAATCATTTTACTAGGGGCTCATACAACTCTTATCACAATCCATACATACATCAATTGTGTAAAGCACATTTGTACATTCATTGCCCTCATCATTCTCAAAACATTTCCTCTCCACTTAAGCCCCCGGCATTAGGTCCTCAACATTTCCATCTTAAGATCCTGTGATGATTTGGTGGTTTCCATAAAGCATTGTAGAGGAGTCGACTGGCAACTTTGTTTCTTTCTGGACCAAGAAGTGTTTATCTCGACTCACCCCTTTCTCTTTAACCCAGTCAATTTTCTCACTTCGCTTTCAATCAGAATACACAGTCCTTAATGTAGTGAAGTATTCAGGGTACAGAATTTTCTCAGGGTTGAGTGCTGAGATTAAACATAATTTATAAAACCACCCTCTCCTTTAAGCAGCTCACTGATATCTGGTGTGCTAGCTTTGAAATGTTCTCTTCTACCGGGAAGGAAAGGTTTTCCTTGTTGCTGCCCACTGGAGTCCCAAACCCAAACCAAACTCACTGCCATTGACTCAATTCCGACTCATAGGGAGCCTATAGAACAGGGTAGATCTGCCCCTGTGGGTTTCTGAGACTGTAATTCTTTATAGGAGTAGAAAGCCTCAACTTTCTCCAATGGAGTGGCTGGTGGGTTTGAACAGCTGATCTTGTGATTAGCAGGCCAAAGCATAACCCACTCCACCACTATACTTCTTGCCTTATATTTCTGTTGGACATTGCTGTCCTAAGCAAACAGAACCCCCAGCATAATAATGGATTTCCTCTGTTTCTGATTCCTTAAGGTTGAAATCAGCATTCAGAGCAATTTCCAGCCAGGAATGAAATTGGAAGTCGCCAATAAGAACAACCCGGACACGTACTGGGTGGCCACCATCATCACGACCTGCGGACAGCTGCTGCTGCTGCGCTACTGTGGTTATGGGGAGGACCGCAGGGCTGACTTCTGGTGTGATGTGGTGATCGCAGACCTCCACCCCGTGGGGTGGTGCACACAGAACAACAAGGTGTTGATGCCGCCAGACGGTAAGATCTGTGCATCCGGGCCACAGCCTCCTGCATTTCCAAGGCTTTGGGCTCTGAGACAGTCATCGTTTTTAATCCTTGCCGTCCGTGCAGAGGCAGAGAGAACCTTGTAGGTGATGGATAACTGCGTCCATAGGAAATTCTCCTCCCTGAAGTTGGCAGGCTGAGTTTCATTTACTCTCGGGCTCGGGCATGAAGGGGAAATGGGTACATATTCAGATGTCAGTGTGGGGTCTGACAGGTTAGCCAAGAGCAGCCTGGAGGAGATGAAAGTGTTTGCGCGTAATCCTCACATTGCTCTCTCAGGGTTGGAAGGGATGTTACTGATCGAGGTGCTGTTTCTCATTGCTGATTGATTTGTTACCTCTTTTTTCCTCCCTCCCTTTAGAGCTCTGACATTTGGAGTAGGATCGTAGAATAAGTCTCTAATAAGTTTTAACCTGTCTTGTTGTGGGGAGACTGTCAGGGTGTGGAGGAACTAGAAAATGAAACATGACTAGACATGACATTGCTTTCCAGGGAATTGCGCATTCAGATAAGATCCGTATAGTTGCTAGAAGACAGTGGTTCTCCACCAGGGGAATGACTGGCATCATCTTTGGTTTTCATCACTGGGAGGGCAAAGGTGGATGCTACTGGTGGTTAGTGGGGAGGAGGCCAGGGAAGCTGCTCAGTATCCTCCAAGGCGCAGAGCAGTCTCCCCTCCTCACCCCTGCTGCCCCCCCCCCCCCAACCGTGACTTCATGTGGCTCAGACTGCCAACAGTGCGCAGGTGGAGAAAGAATGATCGGTAGTGTGCACAGGCAGGAAAGAAACCTTCCTGATCTACAAGGAGAATGACCGAGGCCCCAGATGTTTGCACCCCAATGCTGCACTTTTCATTTCCTTCCCTGGTGGTGCCAACAGTTCTCCTCGGAAAACTTCCTGCTGACATTTGATGTGGAATATTTTCTAAGTATCTTGCCGTCTTCTTTTTAGCTTGACTTGGTATTTTCAGATACATTTCAGAGGGATATAGTTTTCTATGGAGTTTAGAAACAAATTTTGAATTAAAAAAATCACTTTATTAGGGGCTCTTACAACTCTTATCACAATCCATACATGCATCAATTGTGTAAAGCCCGTTTGTACATTAATTGCCCTCATCATTCTCAAAACATTTGCTCTCCACTTTTTTAATGCAAATCCTGACCTCCTTCTTGCCTCCCCTGGGTTGGTGGCTTTTGCTACGCTTTGTGCTATGCGTAATTGAGGGCCTACCAAGGAGGACGGTGATGAACAGACAGCGTGGAGTTTGACTTGCTTTTAAGTGACCTTTGTATGGATTGAATCCACTGCATCAGCCTTTCCTATCTAGGCCACTGAAGTTCTCAGGAGAAAGAGAAAACAAGCCTTATAGCTTCCCTTTCGGCCTTACGTCTTTGTACCTGTTCTCTCATTTGCTTAAAATGTCTTTCTTCCCATCTCCCCCCAGGTACTCATTCCCTCTCTCTCCAGCTCTCAGCTTTTCAGTCATTTGCTCTGGAAACCAGGGTCACACCTAGTCCCTGCTCACATGGCCTCCTGTGCCTCTTAAGTGATGGTCTTGATTGCAGCTGGACCCCTCCCCCCACCCTCCCCCCTAATTGAGCCATACATCACATAGTGTAACACACCCTTTTACAAGTGGACAAGTCATTGGTTTTTTATATCATATGCACAAAGGTGTATAGTCATCACCCTATCCAGGTGTCTTCATCACCCCCTCAAAGAAACCTTACATGCGTCAGCAGGCAGTTTCCATTTTCTCTGTTTCTCTGTCCCCTGTCAGCCAGGTGCCTGCTCTCCGACTCTAGATTTGCCTCTACAGGATACTTCACACTAATGGAATCACATTTCTTGGGGCCTTTTGAATCTGGCTTCTCTCTTTTGCATAGCAGAATGCTTCCAACGTATTTAGCATCTTGTTCCTTTTAAAGGTTGACTGACATTACCTTGCGTGGTGATGCCTCACTTGGGTTTCTACTGTTCTGTTGATGGACGTTTTGGCACAGTTGAACTTTCAGTGTGAGTGGTTCTTTGCTGAGTGTCCATTTACTCTCTGGCCTGTAGGGCCCATGAAGGCAGGGCTTGGGGTCAGACCACTCCCCATGGCACCCCAATGCTAGCACATACTGCCACGTTTGAGGAGTTTTCAATAAAGGTCTATTGAATAGTGGAATCATCTTGTGACATAGGGTAACATGTGCTGCTCCTTAGCAGCCAGTAGCTGCCCGAGAAAGAAACAAGCACATCGGTGCTGTTAGTATGGCAAGCAGTTCTTTAACTTGCATTTTGAGTCAATATTGTTTGCATCTTTATAGCTGAGATGTTATTTCTATCATCTATATCGAGGAAGACTTTTTCAGGTGAGTGCTGTGAAGCTTTACTTTGACCCCCCCCCCCCTTCTAGTTCTGCATAAACAGATAATCAGATAAGAAGAGAACTCTTGGATTAAACAAAAGATACTGTAAGGTAATGCTATGGGTACCAGGAGCCCTGATGGTGTGATGAGTTAGTTGTACGCTGGGGTGCTAACCCCAAGGTCAGCGGTTCGAAACCAGCAGCTGCTCCTTGGGAGACAGTGGGGGCTTTCTATTCCTGTGAAGAACTAGAGTCTTGGGATCCTCACGGAGGCGGCTCTACTCTGCCCTCTAGGGTTTCCGTGAGCCAGACTCGATTTGATGGCAGGGAGAGCAGTGCTTTCAGTAACACTCACTTCACTGAACCCCAGACCCAACCTACACTGGCTGTATGTCGTGCTCTTTTATCCGGCTTTGAATTCTCCTAGCAAGGTAAGATAAGATGCAACATCTGGATATTTAATTTTTCTGTTGGTTTTGAAAGAACCCCTGGTTGCACTGTGAACAAAGTGCTTAACCAAACAGTTGGCTGTTTGAATCCACCAGACACTCTGGGAATGGGGTAGGGTGGGGGGGAGGATAGATGTGGCTGTCTGTCTGCTTCTGTGCAGATTTACCACCCTGGAAAACCCTGTGGGGGCAGTTCTACTCTGTCTTAGAGAGTGACTAAGATTCAGAATTCATGGGTGGCAATATTATTTGTGTATGTGTGCGTATATTATTTCCGAGCTACCATAAAATCTTGATGGGATTATTTATAATGATAGAGTATTGGGAGGGCATCAATTTTCAGAGAAACAGAGAGACCGGAACCTGCACTCTATGTACGGATACATACTCAAGAGACCCCTGGGTATGGAATGCCATTGAGAATGGCACTCTTACGGACGGACTTGTGCTGTTCAGAAAAGGCTTGGTTGAGTGATCACTTGTGTTCTCATAGGCAGACACAGATACAACTCACTGCTAGTGGGTGGATGCTGACTCATAGCAACCCCATAGGACACGGTAGAGTTGCGCTGTGAGTTTCTGAGCCTGTCACTCTTTGCATGAGTAGAAACCTCTATTTTTCTCCTGAGGGGCAGGTGGTTTCGAACTGCTGACCTTGCGGATCACAGCCCAGCATGTTACCACTATATCCCAGGGACATTCATGTGTGTGGGGCCAGCCTTTACAGAGAACGGGGGAGAGAGTACAGGATGGGAGAAAGAATCCAGCTCTGACTCTTGGCTGCAGACCCTGCCTGGTCCCTGTCCTTCCTGCAAGTTCTCTCATCCTGTCCTTCATGACTCACCTTTAAAATGTGACCTGTGAGGAGCACATTGTCCTTGGAAAGACTGTCAGATGTCTCCACTGTACAATATAGTCTCTGGTGAACACAGAGAGCTTCCAGAATGCTTGATTTTCACTGCCCTAACAGCTCCTGGACTCATTTGGTAAAAATCCATGCTAGTTTATTACAAGTTTATTGATTACTGCCCCTTTCTCACATGGGTGAAAAATGTGGCAGCCGTCACAGATTCAGAAACGCCATCAACTTTTTCTGCCACTGGATTGGGCTATTAGGCAACACACAGGTACACATGATATGACACCTACAAAACAAAACAGAACAGAACAGAACAGAACAAAACAACAAACGGGAAGACCCTGTGGACCAGACAATCACCATTCACATGGCTGAAAGGTGCTCTCTGTTCAGACAAGGTTGTGCTAATGTGAGGATTTCTTTATTGTCCTCTTTAAGAACTTAAAAAGAATTTAGTCGCTAATCAATACGACTTGGAAATCTTTACTACAGAGAACAAAGTCAGGAAATAGCAGTTCACGGGGCAAGAGGTTTTATTGATTGCTGTAGTACAGGATAATTATTGCTTTGTAGCCAGAGGCGGCAGTTGTTCCAGAGGGAATCGTGGAATCTATTTTTTGAACAAGGATTCGTGTTTGTGTGGCTTTCTGTCTTAGAAACCTAACATCATTGTAAATTCGGCAACTGTACCCGGTCGATCTTTGTTGTGGTTAGACTTAAAAGGCATCCCAGGATATTAACCTGAGTTATAGCAATCCAGGACACATAATGCTTCTTTTTGGGAAGCTCTGTGGTGATAAAGTTCTTTTCCTACTGATCCGAGGGATCAGGGTGGTATAAAGGGAGACATGCTGTTTGGGGCCACGAGATCAGGGATCTTCTCTTGCCTCTACCCTTAACCTAGCAGTATCGGTGAGTTGATGCCTAACTTTCTCATCTACGGAGGGAGGGGCTTCTAGTATATTGTCTCCAAAGAGCTCTTCAGTTTGTGATCGGAGGAAAGCAAGAGCTGGTTTTACTGTTCCTATTTTTGGGTTGCTAACCAGAAAGTCAATGGTTCAAATCTACCAGCTACTCTGCGTGAGTGGGGAAGAAGAGTCAGTCTGTTTCCATAATGATTATAGCCTGGGCAACCAAGCCTAGGGAGCAGTTCTGCTCTGTGGGAAAGGGTCCTATGAGTGAGCTCCATTCAAGGGCAGCCAGTTTGTTGTTGTGCGTTCAAAGGCAAGGGGAGCTGAGGGATGGGCCTTGTGTCAGAGTTAAGATCCCTGGAAGTCTAGCCCATGGCTCTGTATGGAGCACCGAAGAG